TCCTATTGAAAAGGTCAGTGAGCCATGTTATACCTGTCTCTCCCAAAACTTTCCACACTTCGATTGGTATATCGTCTGGGCCTATTGCTTTTCTATGCTTCATCTTCTTCAAAGCTACAACCACTTCTTCCTTCCGGATTCGACGATAAAAGGAGTAGTTTCTACACTCTTCTGAGTTACTCAACTCCCCTAAAGAAGCACTCCTTTCATGTCCTTCATTGAAAAGATTATGAAAATAACCTCTCCATCTGTCTTTAACCGCGTTCTCTGTAGCAAGAACCTTTCCATCCTCATCCTTGATGCACCTCACTTGGTTTAGGTCCCTTGTCTTCTTTTCCCTTGCTCTAGCTAGTTTATAGATATCCAACTCTCCTTCTTTGGTATCTAGTCGTTTATACATATCGTCGTAAGCCGCTAACTTAGCTTCTCTGACAGCTTTCTTCGCCTCTTGCTTCGCTTTTCTATACCTTTCACCATTTTCATCGGTCCTCTCCTTGTATAAGGCTTTACAACATTCCTTCTTAGCCTTCACCTTTGTTTGTACCTCCTCATTCCACCACCAAGATTCCTTTTGGTGTGGGGCAAAGCCCTTGGACTCTCCTAATACCTCTTTTGCTACTTTTCGGATACACAACTAGCCATGGAATCCCACATTTGGCTAGCTTCCCCCTCTCTATCCCACACACATTGGATGATTACCTTCTCTTTGAAAATGGCTTGTTTTTCTTCTTTTAGATTCCACCATCTAGTTCTTGGGCACTTCCAAGTCTTGTTCTTTTGTCTTACTCTTTTGATATGTACATCCATCACCAAACAAGCGATGTTGATTAGCCACGCTCTCTCCTGGTATAACTTTGCAATCCTTACAAGTTATACGATCCCCTTTCCTCATTAGAAGAAAATCTATTTGTGTTTTTGACGACCCACTCTTGTAGGTGATCACATGTTCTTCTCTCTTCTTAAAGAAGGTGTTGGCTAAGAAGAGATCATATGCCATTGCAAAATCCAAGATAGCTTCCCCATCCTCGTTTCTCTCCCCAAAACCATGGCCACCATGAAAAACCTCCATAGTTGCCTGTCTCCCTGCCCACGTGTCCATTTAAATCTCCTCCTATAAATAACTTCTCCGTCTGAGCAATTCCTTGCACCAAGTCTCCAAGATCTTCCCAAAATTTTTCCTTCGAACTCGTATCCAACCCTACTTGAGGTGCGTACGCACTAATCACATTGATAAGTTCTTGTCCTATTACAATCTTGATTGCCATGATTCTATCTCCTACCCTCTTGACATCTACAACATCTTGTACCAAGGTCTTGTCCACGATGACGCCAACACCGTTTCTCGTTCTATTTGTGCCCGAATACCAAAGTTTAAACCCTGAGTTTTCTAGATCCTTTGCCTTACTACCAACCCACTTAGTTTCTTGTAGGCACATAATATTTATCCTTCTCCTCACCATAAACTTCCACTACTTCCATAGATTTTCCCGTTAAGGTTCCTATATTCCACGTTCCTAAACGCATTTTGCTCTCTTGAACTCTACCCTTCTGTCCTAGCTTCTTCACCCTCCCCCGTCTAATAGGATCAAAGTACTTCTTTTGTGTGTCCCGGGTAAAGTTGATAGGAGCATATGCTCCCAAACAACTTTGAGTGGAGTCGTTCGAAAAGAAGTTTCTATGGCCCCCTTGCTCATTTAACACTGCATCCGGGTGCCGATGGAGATACAGCGACCCTTGCTCACTTATCACTGTGCTCGGGCCACACAGCGCGCCACTTACGGGTGACGCCCTAGCTTTAGCGCGATTTGTTCTGGATTCATTTTCATAAGGATTCGACGTGATCATGGAGTGCCGGCTGTCGACTACCTGACGCCCTCCCCCTCCTCCTTTATCCGGGCTTGGGACCGGCCATGTAAGACATAGGCGGAGTTGGCTCTTGTTTAAGTACAGTGAAAATAATTTAACTTTACTTGGTGGTGAATACATAAACAAAATGGGAAGCAAAATTTTCATGTAAGACACTAAAGTTGTACATTTGCTGGTTTTCTGGTGTCGTGCTCCATCTATTTGGTATCCAGTGTGTTGTGCGCTCAATACAGTTATACATTTGCTGGTTTGCTCAAAGGGCCAATGTCATCATCATAAGAATAGCAAATTTTGCGTGAAAGGCACAACCAGACATTTGGAGGTATTTGAAATTCACATAATACTGTTAAAAATACTTTTATCTTAGAAGTTTATATGAGTGGATGCTAGCTCTTAGCAGCCCTCACGTTATTCTTTCTTGGATTTCGATCTTTTCATTAACATATATCAGACCTTAACAGGTTTCTCCCTATCTTGAATGAAAAAGGAAAAAAGTGAAGCTCTACCTAGCTCTCTAAACACATAAAAAGGCAAAAATATTTAAGCTTAGCCACCAGAGAAATGAAGTTGTAGTAATGTTGATTTTCGAATAAACCTCAACTTCCTCATTGGTTTTGTTACATTTTCAAGGCAGCAAAGATGCAGATGATATGGTGTGCATGGTGTGCATGGTGTAACTGCACAAAAGCAATCGTGGAAGTCAGTAATACCATTTTCAACAGAGAGCTCAAGTCCTGAGGATGCGCTTTGGCAATGTCCCCTATCTGCCGAGCAGCCGTAAATCTCGTCGCTTGGGTTGAACCAGCTATCAGGATTGGGTTAAAGAAAAATTCCAATTGAAACCAAAAAATTGGGAGATTGACGAAAGAGGGTGATTCAATATGTAACCAAACCAAACAACATGCATTCAACAATAATTTGATTTAATTTAATTTAATAGAGCTGAAAATATAAGAAAAGGAAAAGGTTGAAAGGATACTGTCCAAGAGAGTGAGAAGGCGGTGGAGACGAGAGGACTGCTGGGCCATAATAGATCATCCCAACTCTTCTTTTGTCGGTGCCAACAATCTAAGTACTAGTAGTAATAGTAGTAACGCTGTAAACTCTCTTCTTTGTCGTCGCCACCATCTTTTCAATAACTGCGGTCAATGGAACCAGGATATACAATCTTCACAGCTTTTCTCCATTATACACGACGGACACTATAATTACGCATAGGCTTTGGACGCGGACAATTGCGTTCCCGACGACCGTGTTTCAGTCCAGACACCAAATGCGTCAGATGTCTTCTGCAAATCAGCACAATTTTTTTTTTTAAATTCAGATAATTTTGAAAAAATTAAGCAAGCCAAGTGGAAGAGGGCAAAGCAATTGCGAAAGCATTAGATCGAGCCAGCAATCAGCACCTGAGATGGAGGCGAAGGCACGGGCGAGACGACTTACCTGAACAAGTGCAAGATAAAGGCAGCCTAGTGTCTCTCCTTCCTTCTTCCACGGTGGCCCTTTTTTTAATAATCTGGGGGGTGAACACCCCAAACCTTCCACGGTGGCCTTGGTTTCTTCCCCAACCCCGTTTACGGCGACTGCCTAATGATTTTATTTTTTTTTTAATTCTTTATTTTTCCGTTGGCACGAGAGCTCCGAATTTCCTCTTTTCTACTTCTGTTGAAGATAAATTTCGGTTTTCTCTTGGGCTTTTCGGTTGCAGATTCCGAATGGGCTTTGAATTACATGGGGGCCAGATGGGATGAGACCCGGTTAACCAACCAAGGCCTAGTTTGTGTGTTTTGTCGCTCTGAAAAATGATGTTTGACTTTTATACAGGTTTCGGGTTCGAGACTCCAAGCTGGTGAGTTTGTTTGACTGTGATCAGAAAGAGGTTGAAATACCTCTGTGAGTTGTCCCAGAGCTCGGAAGAGGTGGATAATTGTAGCTTGCCAGTTGTCTCCCTTTTTTCAAAAAAAAATTTAAAAAAAAATTGATTAACTCATACATCTATATTAGGTCATAAAAATTGAGTTTTATGAGAGAGAGTATGATTCTTGAGTTCAATGTGTTAAACTTATGTGTTTAATCTTTATACAATGGACATTCAAACATTTCAAAAAGAGCGTGTGGTAGTAAAGTCCATGAATTTTACATCATGATTAGTTTTCATCAAACTCTCATATTAGTTTCTCTCATCCTCTAACTTAACTTTGTGTTACATGAGTGATCATTCCGTCAAATCCTTCTTTACAATCAGATTTAAAGATATAGTGATCTTTTAAGGTCTGGGTTGTAGGACTACCACCATGTAATTGATATCTCTTCCCAAAATTAATTTTTCCCGCCAAATTAATTCACAATTGTTCTTGAGAAATGCAATTTCCTCGCCAACAAAAAAAAAAGTCCAATTGTAATATGCAATTTTCCTATATAATCTACTTGTTTATCATATGAGTTAGCAACCTAGTGTTGCCCTCTAATTAAGGACTCTTTTCTTTTATTGATGTATAATCTAATTGTTTATCATATGAAATTTTTCTGCACAACTCAAGAACCATCTAAGTTTAACAATAATAACAAATTAGTACTGAAAAAACATGTGCCAAAGATCACCAAAAGTATCAATAACATAACAACTTTGAAATGCATTCTATTATCAGTACCAATGACCAATTCAAGATCCTCAAAAGCATTCAAACATCACCTTCTAGCTAGATTTAGTTTGCTGGTTAGATAAAAAGTTTACTACACAAAACATACTACCAACCATATATATATAGTTTACCACACAAAACAGGGTACCAATTCTACCATCACACAAGACATGATTCATGTTACAAAAATGTCCCAAAAACAACATCAGTTTGTCCCCTTGATCATGTCCAATTTAGATCCCATCATGGTTTCCAATGTTTTTTCTTCTTAATTAGGTGGTTGTGAAGATGATGTCCCTGCTCCCTTTCCTTTTGCAATGGTTGATGAGATCTTTTTGTCTTTCTCAATTGAAACCTAGACATCACATAGTCTTTACAATTGGTGTTTTACAACACTCTTGACAAATTTGGATAGTTATATTGTAATTAGGATTAATTTCTTAGTGTTTCATTTTTTGCTCTTTACTCTATAATCCTATGTATTCGTCTCCATATTAGAGAAAGAATAACACTTCAGAAAATCTTAAATACTCCAACATTGTTTAGCATTTACAAAACAGGTGATGTAGCTCAAACTAGGTTATCATGAAAGCTCTTAAAGGCGAAACCTTCAACATTAGACTTACCAAATTAGTTACTTCTCAGAACTCCAAAGACTAAAACCTGAGCAAATTTTTATGAACTTTTGAAACTAATCGACATGTCAATGAAATTCTACGGGTAGTTCTATGAATTCTCTTAAAATCCCCAGTTTTCATTACACCAACAGCTCCATCAAATTGTGAAGCATCATCATCTATAGCTTGACCACGCTGTAGAGCTTGTACTTCGTTTACAGCCTGGAAAAGAAGAATATTTATATCAAATTGTATTGGCACACCGAGTGATATGGGAACTCTATTGGCTAATGAATCATAACCAACCTATCAAAACAATTAAACACAACTTAACGATTGACTGGCTAAGAATAATGTATTTTGCTTCATCACGGGATTCAGTTAGATCTATTTTAGCAGAAATATCCGGAAGTCCCAACCTCAGGCTCAGGGATTGCAGAAGTATCTCCTTACTGATTTTCTTCTTGCCCTAATGTGTTGTGTTGCTTTCTTTATTATTGTTCTTTTAGAGAGGTATGCCTACCGGTGCTTTCAGTACTTCAAACTGTTCCTATATTTGCAAGAGAATTTTTGTTTCTTACCAAAAGAGGGAAAATAAAATCTGATCTTACCCCATCATAACATTGTACCTCACAGTCTTTTATTGCATGCAAGTAATCTGTGAATCACAAGTAGGACCTTCTCAGATTTTCTGTTATAATAAAGCAGCAAACAAGAGATGGAGCTGTTACGTAAACAAAAAGACACAAACCTGAGTATGCTTTATCTTTGAATATCAGCAAACTGCGAGGCATTAATATGACAGGAAATGGATGAAGTTCATTCATTGACTTATCTGTATTAATATTAATGACCCCCGCATCAGAATTTGTATCCTCAACAGCATTTGCACAAGTGCTTTTGCACAAAGTCAGTCTTGAATGGGGAGTAAAGTCCATAACAACAGGTGACTCGAGGGACAGAATTGCTACAACTGGATAATAAGCCGGCCCGTCCTGGTGTGCCTATTTGAACACAATTACAGTAAGAGAGGCTCCGGCAAAAGAATAAAATGAACTATTGTAAATAAGAGGCACACAGATCCACCTTGCAGCTAAAATGCGAAATAATGTAGGAAGTAAAGGCTCTCTTTCTCAGTTACTGTGGGATATGTTAGCAGCAGTAAAGTGATTTAGGTTAAGGTTTTGTTGATGTAGCCAGATCCTCTTGAGAGTTTTTCTTGTTTTTGTTCTTGGTGGATTTCTTATCCACTTCTGTGTATTTCTCTGTTCTTTTATAAAATGTTTGTTTCTTCTAAAAAAAAAGTATTTCAGATAAAGTAACCCCAACATGGCACCAAAAACAAAATATCATTTGAACACTCCTTCAGTGGACAATTGAAAAGCAATAATAAATTGCGAAGAAATATCCATCACTAAGCAAATGCATGGCACAGTTAAAGTCACACAAGAATAATAATCACTAGTCAAAGAGTTCAAAATATGCTTTCCGGTCCCTGTATCTTGCCCCACTTTAGGCCCTTAAAATTGGTTACTCTTAGATACCCTTGATTATATTTTTGGTTCAAATTCTGTAACCATTGTCAGACATGAACGGGATTTGCGATGTGTTGTACATTTTGGGATTCGGAAACAAAGTTCTCTTCCTAATCCGCACTTTCGTCCATCCAATTAGACCCCAACCTCGTTGCAGTACAAACCATGGGCAGATATCTTCATGAACTAGGAGATTAAAAAACCACTTTTAAGTTCAAACCCATAGATGAAATCATTTAGAGAAACTCAAAGGCACTTTCATGTCTTGCTCAAAGCCTCCTCTTTCAAGTTTCTAATAAAAAACCACGAGCATAATTTCCTTATTTCAGATCTGCGCATTACTTACCCAGTTCATAAATATATACAATTTTGAAGTAACTGTAAATTAATAATTATTTTGATAAAACTGGAAACTTACACGTGGGTTGTAGACACCGTGGCCACTGATGTTTCTTGGCAGAGATGAACTCGATATATATTATTTTATTGTCCATTTTATGGGTTTGGATCCAAGAAAATATTTAATCTCTCTTTTTTATTTCATTTCCAAAAGACTTGTCACTCTACAAACTTAAATAATTATAAGGACACAACAAAAGTTGAATAAAAGTACAAGGACAAAAATTAACAAGAACAAATGCCTAGTGCGTACCATTATGCCTTGGTTAGGAAGGTATTCATTGATAAGGACATGATTAATTGGCAATGGGAACAGCCCTGATTCTTCATATATCTTGCATGTAATCTTGGTTAGCCATGATGGCACTGCAAGAAAGAGATTTTATTGTTTTGAGCAAAGGAATTAACAAACAATGAAAATACTATTAACAATTGCTTAATCACATAGAATTTTAGAACCGTCTAAAGATTGCTTTATCATCAGTAGCGTTGCACTTACTACAAGGAGTGCCACCACAATTATTTTCACATATCAAGGTAATAATCAAACAAGTCTTCACATATCAGGAAAGTTGTACATATTTAAAGATGATTTATGGCTTGTAGAGTCAATAGTGTTTTTTTTTTTTTCCATGTGGAGGCAATAACTTCATGACTTGTTCAATTGTAAATCTATTTTCTTTGGGGGTGGCAAAATCTCACACGCCAAATAGTCCATGTGATATTAGTGCACTTTATACTTTTTCCGAAAAGAAATTTACTTTCATAAAGAAATAGTATCAATATAATATAGGGGAAAGTTGTACACTATCTATAACGTCTATACTACTCAAGAAGTAGTTGCAAAACAAAGCTAGACATTACAATATAAGACAGAAAACAAAAATTAAAAACACGACGACTCCAATCATAAAATATAGCCTCAAAAAAACTATCCCTAACTCCAAGAATACCTTTGCTGAAAATGAATACTACATATGATAAGCATGCTCTTGAGCATGAGCGGTTTGATTAGTATATTTTCCTTTGGTGGGAGTTGGTAACAACCACCATTCAGAATCTACAAAATGAGGTCAAAAGCTAGTTCCAAAGGCCAATCAATAAACCAGGATGTGTCATACGGTTTTCGCTACTATGGCTTGATTAGTTTACTTCACAAGAATCATTAAATCTTTCCATAAGAGAACCATACAAACTGTGAGACTTCTTTAGCACAATCAAACACTGCCTCCAAACTTATTCCTCCTCGAAAGACCTTTCAAGACACCTAATTACGTCTACATTAATCGGTTACCACTCTAGACCCTCCACCTTAAGCGATGTTCCTCACCTGTAGCACAAGTCACTTGAAGAAAACCATCTTATTTACAATTATTTCCTCAATTTCCATCCACATTATACTATCTGCTTATTCATGTTGCACTGGTTTTGTTTTTTTTCTTTCTTGATATTAACAAGGAAGTTCCAAGTTATACTATCTGCTTATTCATGTTTCTACTACTAGTTTTTTTTTAGATAAGATACAAACTATTAACCAAGTACAAAACACGAATGACAATAAATTTGTCGGCACAAAACCAAACAGGTTAAAGATAATATACATAAAGATATCAATGTCAATATAGCACAAAACAAAAAAGGGTAACGATAATAAACATAAAGATATCAATGTCAATATCAATTTGTGAAGACAGATATTCTCTGAATGTTTTGAAATTAATAATTTTCTAACTTACAATCCTGTGGCAGAAGACCCTTTTCATGGACAAAACCGCCTGTCAGTCAAAAGAAAAAACTAACTCCATTATTTGTATATGCATAATGTAAGTCAAATTCAAAGGCATTACATGGAAAATCAGTATACATATACCTATTACCTAGATAGAACACATACCCCAGTTTTGTAACCTCCTATTCTTTAATGATTTCCACTTTGATACTGGGCCTTCATAAATCTATAAAGCAGGATGAAGCCAACATACAAAGAATTTCAGGTTAAAAAAAAATCAATAAAGCATTGTAAAAGATGAAGGGAATATGTAAGGAGGAGGGATTTCTACCTTATTTAGAAGCATGGTTTGTTCATTATCCGTAATGAAGTCCGGGATGTATATTAAAGTCGGAACAGATCCAACTTTGAAATCATCTAAGGTCACTTTTTTTTCCATCCCTGTCGGAAGACTCAGAAGTCTCAGAACCTCCGCACAAGGTATGGACATCAAAGCAGCATAATCAAGTAAGTGTTTAGGATGATGAACACAGTAGATTTCTACAAGATTATTGAGGCTTATAACTCTTTTTTTAAGATAGTCTACGGTTATAACTAGCATCACCCTCTTCAGTTTCACTTAACGGAATGGTGGCACCATGGCAGCATTTGTTGATTTCGAAGGTTGGTACAGAGAGAGTGCAATAAAATTTACAACACAATTGAAAACCAGTGAATAGTGTATAGTAAGTTGGTAACTATGCAGACATTGAGATGTCTGTGTGTAAGGAGAGAGGAGGCGGGGGCGTGAAGATTTTTAGTATGAGAAAAAAGAAGAAAGTTTCTAACACAATAGAGTATTAATACAATGAGATGTCTACTTCAACAATACATTATACATCATTAAAAATGAAACTATTAAATCTCTCAAACAGCAAAAACTGAATAAAAACATTTAGATTCCGAACAAGCAACAGCTCTCAAATCTTCCAAATTAAAGAAAATGGTATACACTATGACGCCAAAAATCTGACTTTGCCCGTCAAAATACACTCATGTGAGCTGCAGAAGTAAGCCTAAATCAAAGAACTGAATTTTACTTTTCCAAAAAACTAACTGATGCGAGCGTGTTCGCTTCAGCAACTGAAAGTAGAAAGTAGTAAGATTACACCCATGAAATCACCCTAAGGCAGCAGAAGGAGAGTTATACCCAAAATTCAACTCAATCAACTTTGGATACTATAGGGGCTAGTCTATAATTACTCTGTAGTCTATACTGAGAAATTTAAATAATTACTTGAAAAGAATGAGTAGTAAAAGTAGTAGGCTAGTTGAGACTTGGAGAGTAGCGAAAAAGTTTGGAAATCTTGACACTAGCGAACACGATGGTGCGATAAAGCAACTTCAATTCGACATTGGAGGCATCGAATCATATATAGCGTTAGTAGTAAATCAACCATCTTATTAGCTAATCATATTTAACCTCACCAATTACATTTTTTTTTTCTGGGAAACCTCGACCGCACAACCTCACCGATTACAATCACACCCGACCACCGTATGAAATTTCCAATTCTCAGAATAAAAACACACACAGCAGTTTCAGGGACATACACAATATAATCTACCTTCTTTTAAATTCTAAAACAATCCATTCAACAACCAAGGACAAGAAAATCATAAAAAAATTAAATTAATTAATTAATTAAAAGAATGCATTTCAACAACGATACACACCCCCGCTACTGCTAGTCCCGATCAAGCCACACGACTTGCCTGGGAATAGGATGGATGGACGGACCAGGATTTCAGCGCTCACTCGTCTCTTTTCTTCAGTGACGGGTTTGATTTGAGTTTGGACACATACAGCCCGACTCAACGCCTATATCCTGAAATTTTGTTTTTTTTGTTTTGCTACTAGGTAATGCCTAAACTTGTACAAATATTGATACAAAAGTAAAACTCATTACCAATACCAAAACTTACAAGCCCTGAAGACCAAAAAGGGCAAACAAACAGAACTGGGCCAACCAAACAAACCAAAAAAAGCCCAACCATAAGTTGAGACCCAAAGCAGAAAGAAAGCTAAAAAACCGAGAAGTCCACCACAACAACCGTCGCAACAGTGCAGCTCGACCCACACAAATCCACACCCACCAACCAAGCATTGACTCGCCGATTGCATCATCCAACCCCAATCACATATCCGAGCACAGCCACAAAGTGAAGAGAACCACCGACCAAGTGAAAGAAGTTTGTGGGATTCCACGAGCTGTCAACAAAGGCAGACAGAAAGAAAGTGATGGTGTTGGGAATACCCGAGTTGATGGAAACATCAAAACTCTACTCACTATCTTGATGAAACGGAACAAATTGCGATAAAGCGTGACTACAGATTGAAGCTTGTATGAACAAGAAAAAAGGACACCTGTGGGGGTAAATAGTTTGTTATTTTGAAGAATTTTATAGTATATTTTAGGTTTTAGCAAATCATGTCTCTCATTTTCAAATTCTAAATTATTTATATAGATTTTATGAAACTTCATTAAACTTCATGGATTTTTAACTCTTTAAAAAAAAAAGCTTATTTTTTGCTATACTTCTTGGAACTTGATTTCAATTCTACTTTATCGTCTGAAACTCAAAAGTTGCTAGTTTACTCTTTGAAACTTGATTTTGATATCACATTGCTCCATGTAACTCAAAAACAGTCATTATACCCCTTGCAACTCGATTTTGATCTCATTTTGCTCCATAAAACTCAAACTCGCCACTTTACTCCTTGAAGCTCAAAATGAGCTCTACATGCCTTGTTTCGATTATTCTAGAATAAGCTCATTCATTCAAATTTTATAATTGGTAATATGCCGAACCTCCCCATGAAATAAATAAATAGTAAAAAAAAAATCATCTCTCTTCACCAGCTACCTTCATTAATACCGTAAGAAATAACGAAATCAATGCAATTGATAATAAGGAAAACTAATGAAAATGGCTTGAAAACTTTGAGTTTTAATGATAAGGACAAAATAAAGGGTAAAGTGAATAGTACCAGGATTGACTTTTTAGTGTAAAAATGTGGTTTTTCGTTAAAGTGAACAGTACCAGGTGCTTTTCGTTAAAGTTCCCGATAATAAGGTGGCTGGAGAAAGAGGGAGAAATGATGAATGTGTAGCCAACAATTAGAGAGACGGGAGGGAGAAGAGTCGGATAGATGAAACCCCATAATTGTTTTTGTTATTTTTCTTACTTTTCTTTTTTTAATATGTTATACAATATTTGAATTTTTCTATCTTTTTTTTTTTTGTTCCAATCTATGCGACACATTTGATGGATATATGAGTTTTATATATGTGCAATGTCAGTAATAAGGGGGCATTAATTATGTCATATAAGTACTTAACTGTTATTTAACAGAATACATATAAAAAAAAGTTAAAGTGGAGTGAATATTGAGTTTCAATGAGTAAAATGATGAATTTTGAATTTCAATAACAAAGTGAGATCCAAATCGAGTTTCAAAAAACAAAGTGATGATTTTTGAGTTTCAAGAAGTAAAGTGAGACGAAAAAAAGTTCTAAGGAGCAAAATTATGATATTTTAATTTCAGGAGGCAAAGTGAAATTGAAATCGAGTTCCAAATGCATAGCTAAAAATAAGCTTTAAAATCTCAATTGAATGCTCTTTATTTATTTTGTCTTTCACAATACTATCCCTGATAAATAAATAATATCGGAAAACCTTTCTAATTATTAAATACCAGTTTGTCCTGAAATTTAAAAAACATGGGTACCAAAAAAAGCTGGGGCCTTTGTTAGGGGTGGGTTCAAAAAGTCGAAAACCGAACCAAACCGAAGCCGAAAAAAATCGAACCAAAACTGTTAAACCGAACCAAATCGAATCTAATTTGGTTCGGTTTGATTTTTGGGGTTCAGAAACCGAACCGAACCGAAATTTTATAATTAATTATAAATTAATATTTTTATTAGTAAAACGGTATCGTTCTCCTTTCAGTCTGAAAGGTAACCCTTACCCTTCCCTCTGTACTCTGTAATCATAAAGCATCAATCTTATTTGTTTAACTTAAGGTTTCAACACTATTACAATTAACTTGTGCATGAATGTATAAGCACATTTGCTACTGTAACGTAAATTTATGAGGCAAGAATAAATATGTGCACAAGAGAAGGGAATCAATTTTGTCTCTCAAGTTGAACAAGAAAACTCTTACACATGAATGTCTAAGTTGCCAGATTAAGGTCCTGGTCCGTAAGCATTCTTAAAAAAGAAATAAATCAACAACTCTTATACAAGAACAAGTTTCTCAACCATTTGATGTTATGTTTATTTTAGAAGTGGAAGATTTGAAATGTATTTGTGTTGGAGATGTTAAAATTTCAAATTTCAATTTTTTGAAAGAAAAAAAAACCAAAACCGAGCCGAACGAAACAAAACCAAACTGAAATTTCGGTTTGATTTCTCTTTTGACAAAAAACCGAATCATGTTGAACCGAACCCAACCTAGCCTTTGCGTTTGATAAACACCTTATAACCAGCTTTTTCCACAATTTGGGAGAAAAGGTAAAAAACCGAAGCAGCAAGCTTTGGAAAACCGTCCAATTATCACAATATAGGGTGAACAGTGCCACTAAATGAATTTTTTAAAAATTTCAAACCTACCCTTCTGCCTCTCAGCTCTGGTCATTGAAAACCATGAATTGCAAATCACGAGTTTCCTCCAAACGATCTGCAGACCCGTTTCCTCCCAGCAAGTTACAAACCACGACGCCTAACCTTCTCTAGCCGCGACTCAGCAAACAAGATCTGTAAATCCGTCTTGAGATCCAAAAAGAATGAAAGCCCAAAACAAATGCATGAACAACCACTTTAACCGGCACACCGTTTTCTAGTCTGATCGCCAATTGACCTCGATCTCATTAAGAAATCTTACCAATGACTGGCATTGCTCCTCCACCCGGACAAGAACAAGTACTCTTACGTGGATCTGGGGAAAATTTTCAGTTAGGGAGAGAGGCAAGTGAGAGAGATTGAAGAGTCTAACAAGTCAGAGAGCGAGATAGAGAAAATGAAGAATCTGTTGTAAAATCGACAGTGTGTCCAGTGGAATAAATAAACAAGACACAAAATTTACGAGGTTTCTCTACAGTCAGTGTGACTGGAGTACATCCTCGGGGTAGCAGTAATGCTTTCATTATAATCTGAAATAATAAAAGTACAAAGATAACTCTCTCTATTATCTCATCTCATCTTCCGTGAGTCTCTCATCTCTTCTTAAGTGTGTTGTGTTCCATAAGACTTACTTTTATAGAAGCAAATCACAAGAAACATAGTGAAAGGCATATTAGTGGATTAGTGGCCAGCCATCCAGTCACCTTTACCACACTCCTCATTGGATGACCCCAAGTCTTCGATTGACTCGTTAAAATCTTGATCTGTTTTGGATGTTCCCCCTGATGAGTATCTCCCCCTAATTATCAAAGGTCTGAATTTACTCTTTTTATCTGGAGCGGAATTTGATTCAAGGGTGGTAAACACTTGATCTTGAATCGGACTTATGATTTCTTTAAGGACCTTCGAGGCTTGATCTTGAATGAAATTAGACCATGAGGAGCTTCACATGGCAAGTGATCTTCGATTTTGTCAGGGATGAATCAGCACATGTTTGTTGGGCTTGTCTCCACATGCTTCAATGTATCATTTTCACTTGCCTTATCTGTTCCCCTTGCATAAGTGGTATTTTCCCTGGTTTTCCCCCATGCATGTGTGACATCTTCTCTTGTAAGATTTGTCCCTTAATGCAGGAGTGGAATGCAACCTTTGCATTTGGATGGTTCATCGCTTCTTGGTGACTGGAGACTCAACTCCAACAACAGTTAAAGATGACTACTCGAGAGCAATGCTAGGTAAGCAATCAGGAAAAGTTCCAGGCAGTCGGTTCCTTACCGGGAGTTTGAGTGGAGGTTCCGACATATTGTTTTCTTTATCCTTGTCTTTGCAGGCAAAAACAAGGATAAACAAAAAGACATGGAGAAAGCATGATATGAGATACTCTTACTTTCAACCTTGATAATATGAGATACTCTTACTCTGGTGTGACTTGTTTTGAAGAGGTATTCTCGGAGAGGAAGAAAACTGAGTATTTCGAGATGCTTTGTTGAAGATGCATCCTCGAAGATGAGGATGAGTTAGGTATTCTTGCAGGTCTGCCTTGTAATGGAGCATATAGATCGACATAAATAGGGATTTCCCAATAGCAAGTGGTGATGATGTGCATTTACTCTTGTCAGCAACTGTGGTGTAATTAGAACAGTAAGATTTACGCGTTTTCAACTTTGTCAAAGATCTTTGACAAAGTTTCACACGATACAAAAAAAAGCTGAGATTGCGTCTGAAAAATGTCAACGAATTTTATTCAAGAAAATCTGGCTTTTGAAATTCAGAGAGCGATGCCTCTTCAATCTATGAACAAGTGGCTATGTTACCTCTTCTTTTATAGAGACATCCATTGTGTTCAAGAGTATGCTCAGAAAGTTGCTACCTGTAGAAATTTTCCCCTTCTTGCACTTCTGAAATTTTATTTAACCTCATTTTTCCTTCATCATTTCTGAAAATGACTTGCACATCTAACATTTTCTTAGATTTGAGTTTTAGGAGTGATACAGACAAGCAGCGTCAAGATAACATATGGCGCCTGCCTTTCTTAT